ATGTTATAATACCAAGGACAAATAGTACCCTCCACCTGTACAACCGACACGAGAAGCGACATCCGCTTAACGTATGGAATATGGTGAGTCATTAATGGGAAACGTTTATTAAGCGTCGACATTTAAAACTGTACAGAAAACATAATAATTCAACAGCTGAAATTTAGTAATTATGGAAATTTTAAAATTTAGTTGTTGAGAGGAGTAAGAATGGTTTTTTTTTTATGCTAAAAAGTGAGTCTGAGAGATCGAAGGTGCTGAAATGAATATTAAAATTGTGACACAATCGGCGGAACATGCCGATTTACATGCCTTTAATAGCAAAAGCCTAAACTGCCTAGATACACGAGTTGGATATTAAAGTTTACCTCAGATAAGTGATGGTTTTGACCGTGTTTTAATACCAGCAACCGTTATTTCGACATAAAATTGTTACTTACCGAGAGCGTATCCTTCTACAATAGTCACGGGACTGTAAAGTTATGGGGCCATAATAAAGAAACATTGCCACAGAATTGAATAAAGTGTAAATATTATTATTTAAAACATTGTGTTAGGGGTAGCTTCACGAATTTCACTATTGAGGTCTTCAAACGACGTTGGCTTCTTGGCGTAGACCTTATCTTTCACGTGCCGCAAAGGAAGAAATCGAAAGATGTTAAATCACAAGGTGTCGGCGGCCCATTGCGATCATCTCTTCGAGACATAATACGGTTCGTAAACTCTTCCCTTAAAGGAACAATGGTTTCGTTGTTTGTGTGGCACGTAGCGTCGTATCGTTGTAAGTAAACGTTGTACAGATCAATAGCATCCAATTCTGGTCATAAAAAATCATTAGTTATCACTAGATAGTGCAATCCATTCAACGATAACTATTTCTCCAGCCTCATTTTCCAAAAAGTGTGGTCCAATAACCCCGCCAAACTATAAACCGTAAAGGAACGGAGAGGCTTTTCAATAATAAATCTTGGGTTTTCCAAGCTCCAGAAGCGACAGTATTACTTATTGACATAACGGTTGATGTGGAAATGAGCCTCATCAATCAAGATGATTTTCCATTGAAATTTTTATAGTGAATTTGAATAATTTCAAATGAAGCGTGCATCGTTCCACTTCTATAACTGGCGTAGTTTTTACTTGCCAAATGTGAAAAAATTTCAGCTTCAAAAGTGACATCTCCCAGAATAGCAGGCTATTCAAAGTAACACCTGTTATTGGAAACCCCTGCAGCGCACTGTTGCTAAATTAAACCCTTTGCATCCGCGACGAACCACATTTTTTTTTATTTAATACTGAAGCTGCTCGTGACCGTAAAACATATTATATACCAGAATTTCTCGAAAAGCAACCTTGCTAAAAAAATACGTTGAAAACCCTATACAATATGCATGTCTCCTGGCCCTTGGCTGAATGGCGAAACATATTGTGGACAGACGTATTTGAAATAGAGTTACTTGGCAGTCCAGCTTCTAGGACCTTTGCTTGGCGTCCCCACAGCTCGGAATAACATCCCCGGTTTGCAATAAAAACCGTTAAATATGGCGTTGCCATGAGGTTACTTCTTACATAGTGGAGTTGGCTATGATACCATATGTCTAATAAAATATACCCTTGATATGGGTCTGCCAACAGGGTAGTTACCTTAGCAAGTGCATGGTTTAGGGTCAACGGAATTGAGATTCGGAGCTGGCTTACTTAGTCTACCAGAACAGAAATCAAACAATTGGAGAGATGTATGGCAGGCGGTAAAACATCGTTGGGAAGGAATACCATTAAAACCTTGTCAGGGTCTCATGATCTCTATGCTCAAGAGGTGTGATGCTTTATTATTTTTATATGGAACTACTCTTTTTTTTCAGTTTTTTTTTAACATTTTTAAACAACATTTTTATGAAATTTAAAAGATTCTTTTTTTCATGGGTATGTTAGAATGATTACACCAGACTATTATTGCTATGCCTGAATACAATAAAATGCTACTACTTCTTCTTTTCATTGCCTTATTTTGCTTTTGGTGAGTTTATTTTTTCATGTTAAACCTTTTGCTTTTGTTCTCCATAAGTTCTTCCACATTCCTTCGTAGTTGTCTAGCAGGTTATTCGTTATATGTTTATTTTTTCTCTCTAAGCTCATAGCAGCAACGCAATTCGATTTTTTTTTTTTTAAGTGTATTGTACATACAGACATACAAAAGCCCAGCAGACTTTGCATGCTCATTCACATATCCATAGGGCTCGTAAGCTATACTGTGCCTGTGCTTAGGTAGTGAGAGCTAAAGTGCTGAAGTTACATTTTTTCTTGCATGCACTGTCTAATCAGGAATTGTTCGCATACCAATTCAAGACATTATTGAAATTGGTGCAAAATGTAAATAATATTTGCTCAGTATCCGGCACTGATCTTGTACGTGGGCTTAAAATGGTACGAGAATTCTTAAATTTCTGATTTATCGCCAAGGATATCCGCTTTTCTGTGATTCTGCTTCGAATTCTCACATCCATGTTTGCCTGGACTCTCGCCTCCTCGACTTGATTGAGGATTCCACTCTAGCGGTGCTCTAGTATTGTCGTCGTGAAGTTTGCGCAAAGTGTGACTGATCCAATACCACTTACAGCGTCGAATTGCGGTATAGACCGCTAGCTGTTAATATAAGGTCAAGTAAAAATTTCATTCGGTTTTTATCTAAGAGATGGCGTTATTGTCCATATTACTAGTGTTACGTGTCGCATCATGTCATACTATACGACGCTGAAAACGTGTTTATACGCGCTAAAAGTTTGTCTTTGACAGTTTTTTCGATTGATTGACTCAGTACGTCGTGAGCGCTCGTCAAAGATGGACACCAGCAAAGAGAAGATTCGCTATATTTTACAACTTTTCTTCGATCAAGGCGAAAAAGCAGTCAAAGCTGTACGTAAGCGTACTGTAAACGAACGTGTAGCACAAGTGGTTTACTAGGTGCCGTTCCGGTAATTTCGATGTCAAAGATACACCAGGTTTTACTGTGTGTTTGGTGGGATTGGCAAGAAATCATCTACTACGAGCTGCTGCCCTTTCACCAAACGTTCAATTCGGCCTCTACTGCTAGCAAATAGACCGTTTGAAGCACTCATCCAGAAGAGGCCATCTTTGGTCAACAGAGGCCGAACTGTGTTCCATAAGAACAACGCCAGGCCACACACGTCTTTGGTGACGCGCCAGAAGTTCCAGGAGCTCGGTTGGGAGGTCCTAATGCACCCATCTTATAGTCCGGACCTGGCACCAAGTGATTACCATCTTTTTCTGTCCATTGCGAACGCGCTTAATGGTGAGAACTCGGCCTCAAGAGAGGCCTGTAAAAATTGACTCTCCGAGTTTTTTGCCAATAGGTACGCGGCTTTCTACGAGAGGGGTATAATGAAGTTGGCATCCCGTTGGCAACCAGTTTACGAACAAAACGGTGCATATTTGACTTAAATCGGACAAATGACAAACTTTTCAATTGCGATAATGTAGAGAAGATTAAAAATGACAAAGATTAGGAATGCATACAAAAATATTTTTCCCCTCTTTTTTTCTGGTCATCTTCCCGAACTTTTATAAATGCCCTCCTACATGCCCTTGAAAAATAATAAATCTTTTATCTGTTTTCATTGTTGATTTTGACTGTGAGCTAGACAAAGAAGAAATGGTTGAAGGAAATAGTAACAAATTTTTTCGTAAAAAATAGAACAAATGCTTATGGCGTTTTGCTATAAGTAAGACAGGAGCTTACGAGGTCTTAGTTTTAGAAATTGCAAATTTGAAGAAACTTCATATATTTTTTAACTTATCTCGAGAAGTTTGTAGCACAGCGCTAATTGTATTTGAAAGCTCTCTGCAAGCTTTTAACAGTGTCCCATGCGACATCACAAGTTCGAATGGAAAATTTTCCAAACGATATAATAAAGTCAAGAAGATTAACGAATCGATCCAAAAGATTTTTGAAATTTTAAAAATAATAAATATTTTTTTTTTTATTACAACTTCGCCTCCCGCGAGCTTTGATCTCCGATTCTGACGATTTCTATTAAGTTATTAGAATATAACTTATAATTTAGTTGTAAAGGGTTTCCAGTTTGAATTCTGTTTTCTTATGATCCAACTCGACATGGTGCAGCATTTGAAAAATTAAAAATCTGAAAATAGAAAAAAGTAGAAATGGAGAAATGCATGCATACCTCTACAGGATTAAATGCATTATAATCTACATTTCATTAAACGCTGCTTCCAAAGTCAATATTTAGCAGATAATGAATAAATGTATTAATTTTATATACTGTTATGTATGTGTACATTCAATCATAAATAATACATACATACATACATACATATTATATAAAGTTCACAACATTATCTCTCCAACGATGTATCTCTCTACACCTGTTTTAAGTGCGACCGTATAAACCCTTGTTGGGCCAGCACTTCGCTGAATTTTGCATTTATTTCCACGAATCATATTCGTGTTCGCCTATATATAAATAAATACCCACTTTTAACGGCATTAAAAATTACAAAGTCATATTTTGAGGCCATCTCATTCAACTACAATAAATTTATTGATCGCTGCAATGCATACCGCGTGCGATAGCGAATCAAATCAATCAGTTTATTTCAGCTTTAAAATTTCCGTACAGCTTTCGAATGGGATCTAGACTTATTGTCTAGAATCTTTCTACGTATGTATGTATGTACATACACTCAACTACCAACTCAAATTAAAGATTATTATTTAGCCCCCTTCCTCTTGCCCCTGCATTATAAATGTTTTGGTGCAGAAAAAATATCAATATATGCCAACAACCTCGTGTTTTTGAGTGTAATAATATTGGCATAGAGATAATATACGAGCTTGTTTGTGTTCTAAATACTAGAATTTCGAGCTTAAAATAAATTATAAATAATTCACTGTGTTATGTGCTTATGTTTCATAATAAAATAAATTACTAATTTTCCCCCCTTTTTTCTTTTCTTTTTTGCAGATAAGGTGAGCATTGATTGTGATTATCTATTCAACTACACTTTCGTAATGTAATAGTCTTTAAAACATATTATCAATTATTATTTTGCTGGTAAGTTTTAATGCACTCCTTTTTTTTGAACTAAATATGCTTTTAATAAAGATACATAATATTGTAGAAGAAAATTAGTATTTAGCTAAGAAATTTTTTTTTTAAATAATTATTTAATATGTATTCTTTTGATTTCAAATAAAAAAAAATTATTATAAATATTTATATATAAATTTTAGATAAAAAATATGTTTTATTTAAGAAAAATTATTTTTTCAATTGAATATAATAATTAAAAATATGCATGTATAATATCTCAGATAAAATATTGATATAAAATAATATTATTCCAACAAAAAAATTAAAATAAAATAAAAAATAAATATACCCAAATTTTTTTTTTTTTTTTTGTCTCTCAAAACACCACAAATTGGCTTCAAAAACTAAATTTCTTATTGCCTTATTCATTTCTACAACATCTAGAAAATATTATGCTATATAAAACAAAATTTTCGTGTAAAAAAAAATAATCGGAAATACAGCCATATGAAGGTGTGCGCTCAAGGTTAGGCAGACTCAGAACTTTAAACGAATTTTGCTCGAAACTGTGTTGTCAAAGTTACTCTACGCCGATTTCGATGACACTTTTTACATCATTACTTCAACAAGAAACTACAAAAAAAACGGCGATTTTTTAAAAGAAAGTAGTTTTTTTTTTTTTTGATTTTATAATGAACTTTAATCAATTCTGTAATTTCCATTTTGTTGGAGGGCCCTTCGCCATTTTTCCGGCAGTAAAACTTCAGGCTTTTATCTCAAAAATACTGAACCAAGTGCGATTTTATAGCCTCGTCATTTTCGAAAGTTTTACCATTTCAAGAGTTCTGCAAAGATCGAAACACCTGGTAGTCTGACGGCGTAAAGTCAGGGCAATATGGTGGATGCATCAGCCTTTGAGAAGCCTTTAAAGTGGTTTGTGGCGCTTCAACATGCTTGGACCATAATCGTTTTCTATTGACGTTATTGTAAACAATCCATACTTCATTTACTCCGAAAAGTATCATATTCATTGCGTTTAAGATGAATATCACTAACGTTGAAGCGGCTTGTTAAATGAATCGCTTTCAATTCATGTGGGTACCATACAAAAGTGGGAAATATTTCAACAAAAACTGAAAATAATGAAATGTTTGAATCTCCTGATTTTTGAACACAGCTTCACTTTTGCGCCCCATACTCTCAACAAGTTTCTTACATATTTCTCTTGATATGGAGAACCATACCTATACCTTTTTAGTGACCTGTCATAAAAATTCAAAATTTTTGAAAAATTTCTCAGATCCCTTTGTTTAATATCGTGCCGTTGGGTTGAGGTATAGGCTTTGCGATACTCAATCGAAAACGCGACTATTTTCCCCTTCGCCTTAAGCCAATCTTTTGTGCTCTTTGCAGTATGCTTAGGCGCAATATCCTGTAGAAATGTTCAGTTTCGTGGCTTGTAAATAAATAGGAATATTGATATTTGTCCATTTATTCACTGGAATGGTCTCACTTCATGTCCAGAAATTACACCCCAAATCATAATGCTAATGCCCTGAATGTTTTGTTGCCTTTTTGGTTTACCTAAAATTCAAATTGTGATCTCTTTCACGCTGAAATGTATTTCTCCCATCAGTCACATACTATTTATAGTATTAGCATTTTCGGCCCATAGTACATTTTTCCAGAAACTTAGCTTCCGGTTCTCATGTGTCTTAGCAAACTCCAATCGCTTTTTTTTTTTTTTTGTTATTGCAATCCTGACTGGAGTGGCTTTTTGCGGCTAAAGCGTTCTAAGAACAGGGCCTCGTAGAGTCTTTTTATTTTATTTAAATCGAATTCTTTATTTATTTCCTGCATTACTTCTAGACTCGCTCTATCTCTTCAAAAGTCGTCGTCTTACGCGGATAACTAGCAAAATTTTTCGGGAAAAATTCTCTTAAACTGCAATTCCTGAGGCACCTTGTATTTAATTTCCACCAGAATCTAATAATAAAAAATATTTGCCAAAAATACAATTTTTTAAATATCAGAATTATACAAGAAGCATTGGTTAACTCGTAAAGTAAATAGAATACACTTTTTTTAAGGAAAATATTGCTTTGCTCCACAGAAAAGAATCATTCTCCCCTAGGATAGCTATTTGTGTGGCCATGACTGTATGTATGTACATACCTACATACATAAACAGTTAACTAGAAAATATTCATTGAAAACCGTGAACTACAAGTCATAACCGCAATAACCATGGGAAATCCGTCATGAAAATTTTTTTTAAAACACATTCCTTAGCTCAACACACGTTTTACATAGTTCGTATGGCATTCAATCCGATATTAGTGCATAGACACGAGACACGTGAATTGTTTTCGGAGCGTGTGCTGCTACGTAATTTCCCTACAATAGAGCTTTTTAGTNTTTTTTTTTTTTTTTTTTTTTTTTTTTTTTTTTTGGCACAGTTACCACTTTTCAATTTGAATTCCTCTATAAAACGAAACACTTGTTTTGCATGCATGAATTGAATTTCTCTTTAAATTATAATTAATATCAAAATTTACAAAATTTAATTTTGTATTGCACGAACATTATTTGTTGTTTGAAATTCTTAAATTAATCATTTAAACAAAAAAAAATTCCATTAACTACTCACAGTTCGGAGGAATAGACAAATAGTGCATAAATAAACCAATAAATAGCGATAATTGTACTGCCGAATAGTAATAAACAAATCACAAATTATTTCATTATCAGCTGCTTATGAATCCGTGAATATCCCAGTACGCAAGATAAATGTTTATACAACGGTTCCAGTTTGACTTGTTGTAAACTCTGTATACCCCGAAGATCACCTTTCTCGTTTGTACTGAATAAAATTTCACCGGCTTGGAAACCATCTCAGAGACGCCTCAACTTGCCATAGAATTTTCGAGCCTTTCCACGATGAACCGAGGCTTTGTTGGTTTTTTCATTGGAGTTTATTTTTTCGTGTGGTGGGTCCCGAGCCCCACCTACAACCGCATGGGATTCCCTCGCTTTCAATTGGATGTCTGTTGGCTACCCAAAGAACAATTGCTTGATGAAAAAAAGAATCGTTTCTGGGCACTCACAAGTGAATGGCAAAAAGAAGGAATGAATGGCGCGATATTTTTAATTCGGCTATAAACGCATAAACACGATCGTCTTCGTTTCCGATTTATTTTCTGTCCTTGTCGGAAACCAACAGCTGTACTATTAAGCTAGAAACGCCGATCTACAGCTTCTTATACCGAGTGTTGATATGTACGTCACGGTTATTACTTCAATATAACAAATTTTTTTAAATAATATAATCACAAATCTTTCTCGCGGGGTATGTGAATATATATGTATGTATGTATGTTGTTAACATATGGTGTTAAATACACACGCACGCATACACACACAGGCACAAACGTTCATTTAAAAACAACCAAAACTGAATGAAAAGCTTTTTTTGTAATCAAAAAAAGGCCTTAAAAGCAAAACATAAAAATCAACAATCTTCGGGAAAATCACAAATACAAAACGAAATAATCATAATAAATACTAAAATAAATTAAAAACACAATAATAAAAAAAAAAGTTAAAATAAATAAACACCCACTCGTATGTACGAGTATGTACGAGTAAAGTCAACTGTCTGCTGACGGCCGTCTTATCACTCGCTGCTGTGGGCAAATGCAGAAACTTTGAAATATTAAAACAGTCAGCAACAGGCAAGCCGACTGAGCAGTAAATATTATATTATATTTACTACGAGAGAAAACAGCAAAAACTTGCATTGCCTCTGCTCCTACCCTTAGGCTGCAACTACCCAACGAGCGTACCAGCCGTCCATAGTAACCTATCTTATGAGAGCGCCATGTAAACACAAAGTTGTCACCGATTTACCATAGCGTTGCTGACGTTTGTGTCGCAGAAACCAACGAAGTTTTGATTTTTCCGTAAAACCGGCTCGGCTCATTTTTCGTTGCTATACAAGGTTGCCAGTATAGCCTTTCTTAAAGTAACATTAAATAATCGAAAATAATGCGTAGTTTTGTTCAACAGAAATGAAAAATAAATGCGTAACTAATTATTTGTTACCATATAGATAATACATATTTGATTTTCGTTAATATTCGAACACATAAATTATGAAATTTGTTGACGAAAATTATGAATTTGTTTAAAAGTGTGCAAACACACAGGCAGCTGGCAACATTTCGCCGCTCTCAGCGGCGTCGATAGCTCGTGTATGTATTTCACTACTGATGTCGTCAGTTATGGACGGCTGGTGAGTAAAATGGGTAGTTGCAGCCTTAGACGGGTGAGCAGAATCAAGGAGCAGCGACGGCGAGTGGAGAGAATGGGTTAGAATATGGCGACCAAACTTGTCGATCGAATTGTTGTTTGCGGTTCAATTAGGTTTGTGTATGTGAGGGTACATTTTTATACGTATGCGACTATGTATTTGTAAATGATCGGCTTTATAGCCGGCTGCTGCGAGCAAAAATGAATTAAATCCGCTTGGCAAAGCGACTGAGCCAATCATTTAACTGCCTGCGGTGTAGGCTGAGTGAGAGTGTTTGACTGTTATTTAAATATTATAAATGCACACATACATATATATGTATGTCTACCAGGTTGTACTAATAACAAAATTGATAAGTCATATATTTTTTTTATATTTATATATATAATATTTTATATGTTTATTAGCATTTTCATACTGTATTATAATATTATTTGTATTGTACAATATATTATACAGAACATACATATGTACATATTAGAACAAGCTAAGTATGTATGATAAGTGGAATTTTATTGGAAATTCTGGGTAAAAATATTAATTTAAATATTGATATTTATCTGCTACTAAAGGGGTTACCTGGGTTCATTCTTGGAGAAAAGTGCTATTTACAACAAATATTTT